GCATTAACTGAAAAAAAAATCAAAACTTTAGAAGAAGAGTTTAAGCTGTTGTACTATAGTCTAACAAGTGCTAGAATATTTTTCAGATAAGACCTGAGATATATTGGAATGTTATAAAGGTCTTGTATGAACTGATATTTACTATACTCATTCAAAATACATAATAGGTATATAATTTAGTTTTGTTTTACACTTGGTTGAAACTAATGTTAGATTATGTTAAGTCTAAAATCGATTCCCTAAGTAATAAATACATAGAAGAAATTAATCTTATAAGAGAACTGTTAATCTTGTTTGTTGTTAATATAATCATTTTTCTATATCAGCAAATAAAATATGTTAAACGGAAATAAAAGACATTTTCTTTAGAACAATATTTTATTTTAAATGGAATCATTTGTACTAGCTATAATTTGGTGCATGTGTAGGAGAGCTCCATATTCAAGATGATTTTCCAAATATTTGGCATATTTCATAATAGAACTTCCCGCATTCTCTCCTTGTAAATAAGAAACAATTCTTTTCATAGCCTGGTAGGCCTCCATTCCTGAGGTTGAATTGCATACTTTCTGACTGAACACATCAGCAGCTTGCATATTTTCATCCAGTTGGCCTCGAAAAATACATGGCAATTTCTTGTCACAAAAAATAATCATGTCCAATGAACTTGGACATTGGTCATAATTCAGTGGTATGTTATACATCTTACACCATCGTGATAAACTGTGATCATTATCACTGTCTTCTTTGACATTAAAGAATAAACTGCCATCTCCAGGAGGGTAGCTTAGGCTCTGGATATATTTTTGTGGTATGTTGTGCCACGCCATACCCATCATATGTATGTAATCCATGAATGTTGAGTTGTCTTTACCATAAGTTAAACTTCTACTGATTTGTAATCTTCGATAATGATATTTGAAACACTCCACAACCTTTTCTAAAATGTTTGTCACATAACTTAGTTCAGTAGTACCAAGTATTCTTATATTTTCAAATTTCATAGTGTTAATCATGCTTTCTGGCACATCCAGTACCAAAGTGACATGGTTTCCTTTAGAAGCCAACTCATCGTTCCACTTAGTTAAGTAATTTTGTATTATGGAATAATTAATTTGTGAATTAAGACAATAGTAGTAAGAGACTGGTAAACTTCTAACATGTAGTTCTGTTTCCATTGATTCTTTGCCAGCCACTGCTATTTCCTTTTTGTCTGTTCCTAGTGCATTCACTAAGAGCAGTAATGAAACATAACTTTCAGCATGTTGGCCATTTAAGTAGCTAGTATAATCAAGGTTGTGTGACAATGCACAGACACTTCCCAAATAAATATCATTTGACTCTGAATTGGTCAGAAACCTTCTCCAATCTTCTTTAGCTTTTTCGCCGTACATATCATCAGATGAGTATTTGGATATATTGTGTCTGATACGAAAGCTTAATAGCCAGTCGTCAATACTAGTAAACTTTTCACTCAATCCCTTGAGTATGTCTTGCGCCTTGCCACGAAGTTGATCTTCAGTGATAACATTTCCACTTTTAAATTGTTGTTCAAACCAATCAAGAAGGTTTTGTTCTAAATTAAGACTGCAGATTTCCTTTAGAAGGTTATATTTCTGGTTGTATTTTTTTATTATTGCGTCTTTCTGTTTGTAAATTGATAAAATAGTTTGAGGGTGAACACCATACTCTCTAGCTATATCAGATTTACATTGACCATTATCTAGAGCTTGAATAACTTGTAATTTTGATGTAGCATCAATGTTACTAAATGATTTCTTGGGAAAATCGCTTAAAAAATCAGATTGATCGTCAACCACATTTTTAAGTCCAGGATTCCAAATTGACATGCTTTAAATATCGTGTCAATTTCACTATTGTGATAGCTTATATTTTTACAAAATAGTAATATCTTAGCACTTTATTACTGGTAAAATAAAAAATAACCAATTACTTTCCATAACACAAAATGTCAATAATTGAATACGTCAATGTCACCTTTCCGTTTTATTGCCAGATGTATTTTCGCCACAGATGTGAAATAATTTTTAACATCGAATTTTATAGATAGTCTAATAACTTACATAATCTAATATTTATTGAGTTTGGGTTCGAAAATAATATTTATTCGTTTTATGTAACACATATTTTCCAAGAATACTAAAGAAGGTAAACATAAGTGGCGTTTGGGTGGCGATCTCTGCATAGGTAACAGTAAGCAGTTTCTCTCATGACTTTTCAAGATATATTTAATTAAGTTAGACGTCTGTACCAATACTCACCGGTTACTTTATTTTAATGTATTGTGGGTCATCCATATATTACGTCACACGATTTTCATAATTTTTTTGTCCCTCCTCCCGTCCTTGTCACAGCTAGTCACATTTGTGAATTACATATTGTATATGTAAAAATAAAAAACATTATTACAATAATATTTCGTGTTTTATAATAATTTTTGAAATATGACATCATAAAGTTTAGGATCCCTCCCTATCCCTTATCACACTTCGTCGACCCCTTCCCTACCCCATAACGTGGGACCATGGACGTATTATAATATATAATACGTCCATGCGTTTTTTTTTTTTTTTAAGGGGGGAAAATCATCGAATGACTGCTCCCGCCTGGGTGAGGCGGAAGGGAGTGTCAGACTCTTACTGACTTAAAACCACCCCGTTCCTTCTCCTGCACGTCGAGCCGGAGCCCCGGTTACCCGTTAGGTTCTCCGCGACTCCGAATCGGCATCGGCCCTATTGGGCCCCATCTATGGTGGTCAGATGGCTCTTTGAGGCGCGCGCGGAACGCGACGCGCCGTACGCTCGGGTCTGTTTCTGGTCGGACGGGGAGCCACCCATGCTCGCCGTCCGCAGTCCCGCGCTTACGGTGGCCGGAGATCGTCCCGCGATCCCCGACGCCCGGTGTGTCCTTCGCGATGGCTGGGTTGCGAGGAGGCAGCGCTTCGCTGCCTCACGCGTCCCGCCTCCTCCTTAGCTAGCATGACTGCTTCGCAAAAGGAGGAGACGCCATCCCAGTCCCCCTCGCTTCGCATCATGGCCTGCAGTAGGCCCGGACGCGAGAGGTCGCCATCGCCGGTCACTTCCCTGAGGGCACGGCAGTGCTCAGCCCACGCAGGGCATTCCGCAACGGTGTGTTCCACCGTGTCCTCAGGGCGGTCCTCGCAGTGATGACAGTTAGTCAGTAAGAGTCTGACACTCCCTTCCGCCTCACCCAGGCGGGAGCAGTGATTCGATGATTTTCCCCCGTAAAAAAAAAAAATACGCCATACGATACCAGTCGTACCTATATTTTTATTGTAGTGTATTATTCGTTTTAAACATATTTGAAATTTTATGCAAATCCTAAATTGACCAATATATTAAAGTATTTATTGCATCCATAATAATTATAAATATTTAGCTGGTAGGAATTACAATCAGTAACAATTACGAGCCCTGTCGTATACAGTAAAATTGACCAATATATTAAAGTATTTATTGCATCCATAATATAAATATTTAGCTGGTAGGAATTACAATCAGTAACAATTACGAGCCCTGTCGTATACAGCAAAGTTACTTGATAAGTCTCTAGCTATCCCTAATATCTCTCGAAATGGGGAATAAACAAAAATTTCGTAATTTTTCGTTGTTGACGGCTCGGACTGTTGCTCCTGACTCCTGCCTCTTTGTGGCTTTAATTGATGCTGTTAATCAAAACATACTATGCTACAAATAAAAGTACATCTTTAATGCCATTAAAAATTAAAATTTAATTTCAGTTCACACAGATAATTAATTGCCATGTTAAAAATAATTAACTTCTTTTTATGGAGAGTAATAAAATTTTGTGAAAAAACTATCTGACTGAACATTTATATTTCATAATATTATTATACTAAGAAACACCTATTCTTGATATAGTAACAACGAATTCGCCGAGGGCAAAAACTATACTCATTAAAACTAATCAATACACAATATAATACTAAACATTTATAAAGATTTATTCTTATTTAGATATTTAAAAGAAATATCATATTATATTAAACCATACTTACCCATGAGTAAAATGGTTGTTTGGATTGTGCACAAAAATAAAAAAAATACCGACATTTCATTACATTTAATGCCATAATAAGGTATCTCTAAATGAACCACACTCCAATCATATAAAGCTGCTGATTTACTCTTTTATTATTTGACACATAATGGTGACTTATTATATTTTTGCAGAAGGAGCAAATACATATTGATAATTCGTATTACTTCTATTTCTTTATATTTTATTTTATCAACATGGAATATACCAGCAAAGAACATTACTCAATACTACTTTTCACTTTCCATGCTCTTTCAACTGTAGTTGTTCAGTTGGTCGTAATGCCTTTACTCGGAAAGAAAACTTAATCCTATCCCACAATCGTAATTCCAGTAACAACTATATTTCTAAGCCAGCATATTCCTGTTTTTATATATGTTACATTTAATAATTACATTATAAATGTGTAAATTCTGAATTATCGGTTTTGCATACTACAGTCATTGAGAAAATGTTGAGCAAAAAGTTTAGACCGCAAAGTTATTATGGCAACAGCAGAAATTATCACATGGAATAAGCAGCAGCTAAGATACATTCAGTAATAATAATAAGTTCTAGTATACTATATTTTTTTTTAAAACAAAATTATATGGTAAACCTGAAAGTCTTGTGGTATCACTTTGGATTTATGATTCTGAGAAATTGTCTGAGTTGTATTGAGAGTCTTCAACTTCAGCGATTTCTATGTGTTGTTGCGGTGAGCCAGACAGCGGCGTGGTTGCAGCCGAGGTGGAGGCAGCGGCTGTAACCGTCGCCATGACTGTGACCGTAGCAGTAGCTAGGGCTGTCACCGTGGCAGTGGTGGCAGCCGCAGCCGTGGGCAAGGTTGTAGTCGTGGCAGTGGTCGCGGCCGGCGCTTTGGGATAGTCGTTGAAGATATGTATGTGAGTAACGCGACGTCAGTCTGCCTCGTGTTCATGCAGTTGGGCCAGCAAGGCGGCGCGACGGGACTCCAGTTCCGCATCACTCCACGCTGTCGATCCACTGGACCTAAACAAGTCAAATCTCAAGTTACCAGGGTGATTGTTATGTGACGATAGAGGATAAATAAAATTACTTATACATACCGTTCTTTCTTTTCCTTCTTATCTTTCTTCTTCTTGGGTTTGTGTGGGAGCTCGTGCGTCTCCTCCTCCGGACTGCTAGGAGCACTACGCTTTGACTTCTTATTCTTGTGGCGAATTGCTTCGTCATCTGTTATACCGCCCTCTTCGGGAGTCGGAGATTTCTAAACAAAATATATTTTCTTAAATAACATTGAGACATCTTAAATAACATTCATTAACAAATAAAAAGCTACTTTAATAAACTGCTATAATATATACAAACACGTGAGTACCTGCGATTTTTGGTAATTTAGTATGTCTCACGATGGGTATCATAAAAAACTAACAACAACTCACATATATTTTTATTCTAACTAAAGGGTACTTACAGGTAGCGGCGAATGCTTGCGATGCTTCTTCTTTGACTTCTTGTGTTTTCTGCCTTCATCCGAAGTCCATGTGCCATGGCTGGGAGCTGGCGACGGCGAGCGAGCAATTTGAATGGGCGACGGAGACCGCGACCTGGACTGTGTATGGAAATAGTTTAGTAATGAGTTTAATAAGAAATATAACTTAACTATCAATATCATGAAACTATCTCAACAGTCATTATAGTAAGTCTGATCACAGAGCTGGTCAATCGTATATTAAATAAAGTGGGTCAAATATTGTGAAGTGTTCAGCTTGCCTCACAGTTTTATTCTGGAATTATTACAGCTTTTTTTTTTAAGGCGGAAAATCATCGAATGACTGCTCCCGCCTGGGTGAGGCGGAAGGGAGTGTCAGACTCTTACTGACTAAAAACCACCCCGTTCCTTCAACTGCACGTCGAGCCGGAGCCCCGGTTACCCGTTAGGTTCTCCGCGACTCCGAATCGGCATCGGCCCGATTGGGCCCCATCTGTGGTGGTCTGATGGCTCTTTGAGGCGCGCGCGGAACGCGACGCGCCGTACGCTCGGGTCTGTTTCTGATCGGACGGGGAGCCACCCATGCTCGCCGTCCGCAGGCCCGCGCTTACGGTGGCCGGAGATCGTCTCGCGATCCCCGACGCCCGGTGTGTCCTTCGCGATGGCTGGGTTACGAGGAGGCAGCGCTTCGCTGCCTCACGCGTCCCGCCTCCTCCTTAGCATGACTGCTTCGCAAAAGGAGGAGACGGCATCCCAGGAATTATTACAGCTAATCTAGTTGTAATACTAAATAACTTACCAATGAAGCAGAATGCGAGCGTTTCTTCTTCTTGGAGCGCTTTGCTTTCTTGGATTTCGGATGATGGTAATGCAAACAACTTTCCTCCTGTTCATGTTGGAAATCCTGAAAATGACCAAATGTAAAGATTAGTATAAATACTAGTAAATACATCAAACTTCACAGAAAATGGACTAGGGATAGGGGGAAAATTTTAATGTGTATACAAGCAATTGACTTACTTTATATATCCGAACTCTATCTTCTTCATAGGGCACGGCCGCGAACTCCGGCGCACTCAGATCTAACTTCTCCTTGACCTCATTCCATGATAGTTGATGGTCTATATTTGCTTCAGTCAATGCCCATTTAAAGGCACTTTCTATTTTCTTCATTGCTTTCGATTCTTCTTTCATCTTTTCTTTGTTTCTGGCTTCGGCCTGTATGCAATCAAATGTTTTTCATATAAGCAACAGTTAGGCGCAAAATGGATGTCGAGTTTTGTTTACATTATATCAAGTTATCAACACTTTATTGAAATCATTTGGGTTGTGATGTACTTAAATTTCTTACATACGACATTTTTTATAGTAAAAGCCAGTAAATGAGCAACATATCACTTGATACGCCTTAATAATAATGTATAACGCCTTTGTTTAATGACTTTAATGTTATACTATTTTAATTTAAATATATAATTAAGCAATCGGCGCCGCCCATAGGCACCCGAAACACTAGACGCGTTACAAGTTCATAGACAGCCTTTTGGGGGTTAAGACTTTGAGGATTGTTGTGGATTCGGGGGTTAAAGGATAATTGGGCCTCCGGTAACCTCACTCACACAATGAAACAACGCAAGCTTTGTTTTACGTCGGTTTTCTGTCTGGTCGTGGCATCACCCCACCCGTTTGGCATAGCTCTCCAACATTAAACATCAATACGTAGCATAAATCCTAAAACTAATATTATAAATCTGAAAGTGAGTTTGTTTGTTTGTTTGTTTGTTCCACCTTCACGCCGTAACTACTCAACCGATTGCTTTGAATTTTTGCAGACGTAAAGTTAGAAGTCCGGATTAAATAATAGGGTACTTTTTATCCCGGAAAAAATTGATATTTCCAAGGGAAAACAAAAGTATTGGTATAGATGGCGCTGTGTGTATTGGTATATGTCACATAGGCTACTTTTTATTCTTTTGTGACGCGAGCGAAGCCGCGGGTAAAAGCTAGTATTTGATAAATTAGAGTAAAAGCAAGTATTTCTTACCTTCTCAAGTAATGAGTTGTAAGTGAGCTTGACATTGCCTGCATCGAGAGATGCCGACTTGCTGTCCTCACAAACAACAGTAGCAAATTCTTCAAAAGTAGTGTCAGGTTTCACTTCAAAGCTTTTTTCCTTTAAAATCTCCTTAATTACTTTCTTTTCATCGTGGAAACGCGCCTTCAAATTTTCTACGTAGAATTTAAACAAATCTAATGGCGTAGAGCCATTCTGTCCTGTAATGCATTATTATTTAATGATTATAAATTAATTTGTGTATATCACAAAAGTATTCTGGGGTCACTTACCAAGCATAGCTGAGAACCGCATGTCAGCTGATATAACTGGGTACAACTCGACCCATAAAGACATTGAGGTAAGTTTACCTTCTTCATGCAAAGTATCCAGTAAAACCTGATAAAAAAGACATTAATTTAGTGGTCATTAAATTTGTTAAGTATTAGCTGATGACAGTATAAATATTTGCAATACAAATATATCAATACATTTTAAACTTGCACTAAAAACAACATAGGTCAATGTTAATAATACCCTACCTTCAGTGAGGTAAAAACAAACTTACCAAGAAGTTATCTCTATTCTTTCTTTGCTGCCTCTTATTCCGCTTTTTAACTTGTTCCCGCTCTTGTAAATATTCTGCTTCTAAATTCCTTATGTGTTGTTCAAACACTAAAATGCAGAATCAATAAACATTTACAAAACACATCTTATACTATTATATAAAGCGGAAGAGTATGTTTTTTTGTTTGAACGCGCTAATCTCCGTAACTGCAAGTCTGATTTGAATAATTATTTTTGTGTTGGATAGCGCATTTATCGAGGATGGCTATAGGCTATAAAACATCACGCTACAACCAATAGGAGCTGAGCAGAGCGTGTGAAACCGCGCGGAAGTAGCTAGTTGCTACAAAAACGAATTCTCATGTCAAGGCTCTAGCCTAATAATAGTATGTTGCCTATTTTATGAGTTTATACACTTCACAATATGGAAAATGATAAAAAATATCCAATTTGGTCAAGTAGTTTAAGTGCAGTTATGTGTGTACAAACATTTTGGTGATTATTTTTTAAATTAAAATGATATGTGTGGCGTATTAAAGTAATCAAAATAGAACTTACCAATAAGTGCGTCTTCTTTGTCCATGCCTAATAAGCTTACGTCATTTTTAAAGGCAGAGTTTTCTAGAAGTAACACTTGCGCCTCGCTCCAGGTACTACTGTATGTAATTTCACTCATATTCTCTAACACCTAAAATAATGTATATTTAATAAGTACTTATTCAAGGGAAGTAGGGCAGAGGGCATTACCCTGCTGTGAGATAATCAGGAAACAGACTGATTGTAGAAAATGGTATAATAAGTAATATGGAATTTTAAAATGTAATTTAATTTCTATAAATCATTCATTGCAATTACACATAACACATAACATCACGCCTTTTATCCTCAAAGGGGTAGGCAGAGGTGCACATTATACCACTGTACAATGTAACACCCACTTTTCACTATTTATGTTATGAGTCCCATGTAATAGGGGGTGAGCCTATCCTATTGCCATATACCGGGCACAGTTCCAGACTCCGTGCTATTACTGAGATTTTTTTAAAAACCCAGTAATACTTTGCCCGACCCGGGAATCGAACCCGAGACCCCTTGCTCGGCAGTCGCAATTGCGACCACTCGGCCAACGAGGCAGATTGCAATTACAATAAAATAAAAATTGTCAATATTTTTATCAAATCATAAAATGTTATCATTAGACCAAGAATTATATATTGTATCTTTATTAGATGAATTATGTATGTTCATTAGATTCATGATAATAAAAAAACCAAGAATATTGGCCCTTACCTGTGCCAACATTTTCATGTTGCGTTTTTTCAGAGTCTTAGCTTCTTCTTTTTCACGCTTTGTAATTGTGAATATACAATCTTCAAATATATCTCTACGATCTGATTCAGGAACACAGCGCCATATCTGTTAGAAATAAAAATATGTAACATCACACTTTACAATCTGCACCAATTTGACTCAAAATTAGTGTTCACGTCATTTCAAGTGCTCTGCAGTATTTTTGTTATTTTAATATTGCTTTCATAATATTAAGTCTTACCTCAAGATTGTTGAACATTTCTTCACATTTGTAATATTTGGTCAATGATGTCACTCGGTCACAGCTTAATAGAAATTCTTCTAAGTTTTCCCTATTTTTCTTAGTTTTTAATCTGAAACATAAGAGATGAATGTATGTATGCCTGTGAGGTCTCAATCAACCTTAAAGGAAATCAAAAAGCTGTACCTTGTGAGGCAGATTAAAAAAAAAACAGTTTATACCTTTGTTCCTCTCTTTCATCCTTTAACTTTTGTGTTTTATAAGCATTAAATGCTTGTTTCTTCTCATTAAGTTTTTTAAAAGTAGCATAGCGAGGATCTTTAGAGATTATCTTTACACATTGCTCCCAAGTTGCATTTGATGGCACATTCTGAAGGTAAATATACAGTATGGTTAGAATAAACTTGAAAGTAACCATCTAGTAAAGTCAATGTAATACATAAAGTATTTATTTCTTAAATGTATGCTATGTAGGATTGAAGTATATTTAAGATTAAAATGAGAAAACATACTCTGTCCTTTAAAAGTTCCTTGAAAGCCTCAATAGCTTCTTTCTTGTCCTTGTATTGTAATTCTGGTGGATTTTCCGGTACCTCAATAACATTGTTTTGTGTTGGAACACTCATTTCTTCAGGTTTACCTTAAAATAAATTAAAGAATTAGAAAATTCATAAATTACCTAATTTATGAATTTTCTAATTGGTTACCTAACCAGTTATAAAAATACCAATAGGATTTCTTCCAATGAAAATAAATAACTTGTAGATTCTTTAATATTATACATAATTAATACATCACTTACTTTCTTCTGGTATTGGTATAGAATTGGCAAGATTTGGATCTATAGCTGCAAGAGTTTTAGCCATTGCCTCATCTAAGGCTGAACTTCCAGTCTGATTTGATGGAGACATTGGCAAAGGCACTTCTCCAGGTGGAACGTCTGCACTGAGTGCTGCCCTGTAAGTATTCAACACAATTCAATAATTTGAAATATTTTAGCTGAATGTTGAAATGGTCAAATGTATTACCAGAAGTCAATATAATTTGTTTACAACTAACATTGTAATAGATATCATCCTACAATTAGAGCAATACTTACTGTGCAGCTTCTTCAGCAGTGATTTTATCTTTGATTTCTTGCAGCTCTTTAGGTATGATCCAGCTGGATTCCTTTGTTTCTATGTTGTGGTAATATACACGACCAGCTTCTGTTGTGTATTCTTTCCAAACACAGGCGGATAATAATTTCTGTAAAACATAACATAAACATTGCATTCAATAGTAAACTTTTAAGTAATAACGTTTATTTTTTTTATTTATTTATTTATAGCAGGCCCATATTAAAATACTATAATATCTACTACAATTTTAACTTAAAATACTATAAATACATAATAATAAATTTATTAATAAAATTAATTTAACACATAGATCCATAGTATACAGTCAATAACAGCAATATATTTTCAACAGTAAAACAACTGGTTTCTTATCAAATAACAACTTTACTCAACAACCTATTTTTTGGTACATTTGATGTAATGTCGTGGTGGCCCGGAGGTTTAAGACGCCCACTTCTCATGCATGAGGGTGCGGGTTCGAAACCTACCAACGGCAAGTACCAATGTGACTTTTTCCGAGTTATATGTACTTTCTAAGATTATTTAGACACCACTGACAAACGGTGAAGGAAAAACATCGTGAGGAAACCTGCACTTATAATTTCTAATTATAAGTTTGAAATCGCCAACCCGCATTGAGCAAGCGTGGTGATTAATGCTCTAACCTTCTCCGTGTGAGAAGAGGCTTTGCTCAGCAGTGGGCATTTATAGGCTGTTGATGATGATGATGATGTTGTTAGTTCTAAACCAAACATGCCATAAATTATGCATAAGATAGGTATCAAAAATTAAGGTGTTAAGAATTAAAGTGTTCCACAATGTCTGATTAACATTCTGTTGAACTAAATAATGGAAAAATTAATAAATTATTATGTTCCATATGAAACATACCACTTAACAGCAACTTAATTAGATATTGTGAATCAGTCCCTTAACAGTCCTAATGGATGATTAATAAATTACTAAAAATTGACATTTTAACTCATTGAGTACCATATTTATAGACACACTTAAAGAACAATAGGTTGCGGTCACCGGTGATCGCTCGGTGTTTGACAGTTTAAATACCACATATCTATCAAACTGGTCACTTTTTAATACAGTAAATAATAATGCTTACCTCTGCTGGGGTTTTCAGGTCATCAGGTTTCTCCCAAAGACTTTGTTTACTAACAGAGTTATAGTAATAAGTTCTTCCATCTGGAGCCTTGTGTTCAGACCAAGGACTGCTTTGGTTGGCCAATGGAGCAATATCAGGAGCAGGCGCATTCATATCCTAAAAAAACAATCATTTTTTATACCTTCATGAATAGAGTTCTCTAAATACAATTCATTACACTTTTACATAAATAATAACCACAATAATAAAGATACTTACAGCTTTAAATGCCGGAAATCCCGGTGGAGGCATTGAAAAAGGCGGAATCATAGGTGGGAAACCCATCGGCGGTGGCATACCAGCCATGTTCGGAGGTATTCCAGGCACAGGTGGCATCCCAACTGCTGAGGCAGGTATGCCTACAGACTGAGGCATCGGTGGTGCCATGCCGCCTAGCATAGCTGGGGGAATAAGAGGTCCCAGACCAGGCGAGCCGGTACCGGGATTAGCCGGTTCCTATAAATTAGAGTTACTTGTCAGTTATAAAAACATATTATAACACTTATTCATCTAAATAAAAAGAATACAAATAAGTTATAAGAGTAATGCCAGTATCACTACATTATTTCTCTTAAAAAATTACTCATAAATTTACTAACCATGTTAAATTTTTGTTTATAGTAAAAACTTTAAGACATGTGTTAGGTATAAACGTCGAGATATTGTAATAAACCTTAATTTAAGACGAGAACTAGCGAATGCCGATTCGTTGACGACAGCACCGTTTCTTTCATAATCTCTGTTTCTCATAGACAAAACCAACTTCGATTTATTTTGAGAGGTTAGCCCATAGACTAAACAAAAAAACATAGACCATAGATCATAGATTGGTAAGAAAGAATAATATTGAAGAGGTGAAGTGATTTGATTTAGAGATTGCAGAGTTGCCACTCTTATTTAAAGTTCCCTGTACACAAGCATAGGTCTTGCACATCTTTTTTACACTTGAAAGGTCAGCGTTTTCGTACACCGAACAAAAGCAAACTATGTGACAACGACGATTCCTAATATCATCAATATATCATAAAAAGTAAATGGACGGATTCACTGACAGACCGAGGAAAACCCATATTTAGCAGTGAACTTCTTTTTGTGTGGCTGACATAAACGTCATTAATTCTTTCATAGTCAAATTAATAATTCTAATAGCAAATCGCCCATGATTTGCCATTAGTAGTTTCGTCTAATAATTAGACGAAACCAACGATATTTCTCCAAAACGATCTTGTCGACTATACTGCCAGTTACAATACAGGGCAGAGCAGTATTAACTTAAACAACACAACAAGACGTCGAAGTCTAAGAACCAAATAGAGTTTGTGAAATAATTAATAAATAGATAAACTCCTCTTCATTTTGATTTCATCAAAAAATCGTGATCTATTAGTGCTTTTCTATACTTATTATAGGTACTCTTTGGCGATTTTATGACATAAATAATTATTTATATCAGAGAACCGATTCGACCGGTCTTCAGTGTGAATGAATGTCACCTCAAATAACTAATCAGTCAGCTGTTGTCGTTGTTTGTTGATATGTCATATCTTTTCTTTCCTTTGTATTGTCAATTTGTCAGAATGTCATTTTGTAATCGTAATTCGAATAAAATTACTTTACAATAATTTTATTAGGTGTACATACTATACATAATTGAAAGGCTACAAAATATAAAGCATAATTCTGCAATTTATTATAATGAAGCAAATATGATTTCACTTGTGGCCAATATTATAAATATTTTCGCTACAAGCCTGCAAACTATTCTATTGATAGCATCGTTTACAGGAAAACTAATAGTTTCAGCAGCAACATGGATCTCATCATTAATAATATACAGTCTAAGAAGCGTTATCACGTTTTTTGAAATAGTGTATGAAGATAATGTAGCTATATTTACTGAAGAAATACCGGCATCGGTATATGGTGTACTTGATGCGTTTGTCAACCAAATAAATCGCATACAAGATGGTGTTGTCAATATCGTGAACGAAATATATTTAGAATTCAATGAACTATTAAGTACTGCTAACTGGATGACACGAACAGTTGCTATTATGATAAGTGAAGTGTTGATTTTACTAAAGAGTTCTGTGATATTTATTGGAGACACAGTGTGGCTTATTGTTACATTTGTGCCTATATACCTTCCACAACTGTTGAGAGCAGTGTTCAAGTATATTGGACTTATCATAGGGAGTTTTATTGTAGATGCCTATATGACATTATTAAAATTCACTAATTGGTTAACAGAAGTGCCTTTACAATCTTTTATGGGAATTACAAGTGCTATAGTAATTATACGTTTGTGTGTTCATTTCAGAGAACCGATAATAGGCCACATGACCATGCTGTATTGGTCATTGATAAGAAATGTTTTGTATTTATATTACTTACTTTTTAATTATTTTACAAATTCGGAGGTTGGCTTAATAGCTCAAATGGCTGGTGGGCAAGACTTAGGTTCTAGTGATATTACTTTTTATGACTCTTCTAATGTAGATGATCCTGCTAATGGGGCAGACTCATTGTGTGTTATATGCCAAGAAAGGCAAAAATGTGTTCTAACACTACCTTGTCGACATGTTTGCTTGTGTACTGATTGTTGCAGACGCTTGTATGGATATCAACGCACTTGCCCTATATGCAGGACATTTATCTATCACACAGTTACTGTGTATTTGTGACATTTAGGAATATCTATTTATCACCTACATTCCTCAGGTCTAAAGCATTTATATTATTATCAGTCCTTATAACGAATCTTAAGTGTTTCCATACTAAGCATACTTGATACTATGAAAACTTTGTATAAACAAAATGTTAATTTTTTTATAATTAGTCTTGTAAAAAGCTAATTTGTCAATTAGACAAAGCATGTTCTTTTGTATCATGGGTGAATTAAAACATTAAGTCATCAGAAAAATAAATAATTTTATTTAGAATGGTTAATTTATCTTATTGACCCTATTGATTATCTTATTGACCTTACATACTAGTCGACTGAAGAATTTTGGTTTAAAGGAATAAATAAAATCACAACACCAATATCATCCAATTGTATAACCAATTGTTAAATTTAAGTGGGTAATAAATTAATCATAAGTAGTTTACCCACTCAGAAGTAGTTACAATATCAGAAATTTTAAAAGATTTATAGATGTAGTTTTATTTACATTTAATACAAACAACAAATGATTTTTGACTTGTATTCATCATTTGTAAAAATGAAATTGAGTATCCTATTATTCTCACTTCCACAATATTAAAAATATGCACTCATGATAATGATAACACATCAAGTAGGTACACCACATATACACTTCCTAAATAATTCACATTTTCATTGAGATTAGATAAAAAAGTAGCAGTTCGTGCTATGTTAAGATATATCATAAATTAGGCATGGTCTCAGTCAAAATTATGAGCCTTTATCACTTTTATACACAATGCAATATATAATTATCATTTAAATTCCTACACAATAACTCTACACTCCTTACCTTGTTCTTAATAAAGGGATTTAACAATCCCTTCGGTATAATAACTTATACCCTATTACATAATTATGTTAGTTAACGTAATTAAGTTTTTAAATGCCTTTTAATACAAGACTATTATAGTGTATATGATAATAGCTATCAAATTCTAACTCAGAGCACTTGTTTATTTCTAATACTACTGAGAACTCTATCAAAATAAATAAATTTTGACACTGGTGTTGATTGAGACCATTTCTCCTATAATGATTATTCTAAGTTATTAGTGTTACAGTGTTACAAATGCCTCATGCGTGAGCTTAATGCATAGTTCTCAGGCCCTCTCTCTTCAACATGTAAATTTAATGCACTTCTTCTGTGTCGTGCATTAAGGTTTAAATCTTTAAATGCAATTTTCACATCTTTAAATGCATTTAACATAAATACTGCTGTGATCACAATCAAAAAGCCACATACACATCCTACAATGTCAGGAATGTTCATATGATCCCATTCTTTAAAAAGTATTCCAGATGCAATAATAACAAGAAGAGTAAACATGACATAGTAGACAGGAGTAACAACACTGGTATTGAAAATGTCAAGTGACTTATTCAAATAATTCATCTGAATCATTATACAAAAAACAGCAGTTATAAATAGTAACCAGAAAATATAGTTAGTAAAATTGTTAACATTTCCTGAAAAACTTTCTCTTACACCTAAAGCTACACCTTTGCAAAATACTACAGTGAGACTACCAGTTGAAGAACAAAGTAATAAATATACCATCACATTAGTATTTCCAAACCTTGGTATGAAGACTAGTTTAATTATTAAACCCATTAACAAAATTGTCCCCACATATGATAAAAATAAATAATCAATTAGTTTTTCAACTAACTCACTAAAGGTTGTAATTTCTTCTGATTTTGGTGAGTGTATCACAAATATCACTGATCCAATAACACATAGGAAACATCCAATCTGGAATAAAAAATTGTGTTAAAATATACTATGTAAAATAATTATATGAATTTGGTTAATGAAAAATTGAAACACACTTTCCCTATGAAGTTAAGTTTTTCTTTCAGAAATCTTGAAGACAACACTGCTGCAACAAGAACACTGAGCGCGCCTAGTGGTGTTACCAGAGCAGCAGGAGCAAATGCATATGCTAGAAGATTGGCAGCTTCCCCAATACCCACTGAAACAATAATTGTTTACCATTAAATACAGGTGTCACATAACACCATTGCAAGTGTTAAACTGCAAATTGGTACATACTTGTTATAAAGCCAAGCCACCACAGCCATTGCTTCAAATAGGCGAATCCGCCTGCCGATGCTCTTACGTTTCCTGAAGCTTGAAGTTTTCTTAAAGCAACTTTTTTAATTATGAAACTAGCACCAATAAATACACTTGACGAAATAGCAAGACTTAAACCAATTGTAAAATGGGTATTATTGTAATGCTGGCCGTTTATAGTCAACTGTGAGGACTTCATTGTTTGACACTTAATTCAATTAATAGATATTTATAGGCGTTAGAGCACCATAATTATGATAACATTATGAATCATAACTGAATCTTATCTGTTGATAAATATTTAAGAGGTACACTAAATTTTGACACTAGAAGTTTTATATTAAACTGCTTTGACTAAGGGAATTCTCTGTTAGTGTCTATTCTAATAGAACAAGGTTTAATTATAAGTAAAGTTCTGTTTTAATACATGTTAATGTAGATTTCTATTCATATACAAATAATATTAACCTGTCAAATATTAAAAAAAAAATATTGTCAAAATGACAATGACAATATTACAAATTAATTAATAATTTTAAATTGTAAATATTTATGTCGCAAGATATATTTAAATTTAAATACATTCAATGACTATGTACATTACAAAAGTCAAGGCAATGAAGTAAGATTTCTTAATTATCTTTATTATTACAATTTATCTCAATATTTAATAGAATTATCTTTAAATATAATACTATTTAAAGATAATTCTATTAAATATGAAGTAAGTGTCAATCATCATTCGGAGACACAGAAAGGAACTCCTCTAAAACAATATTAGATTTTTACAATGACGTTAAAATTGGTTTCCTATACAACTATCAATTGCATATTAATTAAGTATAATCCAAAGAAACCGTATCTCCACCAGTCTATGATTTCTATTTAATTTAATATAATAAATTATCAATTTGTTTTTTTTTATTTGTGTGCACCATAAAGCTGTTAATGGTTAATATATATTACCTGTGAAACTTGACACTTGCTAGACACATCACCAACGTCAATATTACTCATTTTCTTCTTCATGAAATGAAATCAAACTTTGAGAACAGCTGGTTGTCACTCGAAAATTTATTTTTACTGTCGTTTATTTAATAATTATTAAAGTTTAATTCAGTGGATAATAGTGGAAATAAATTAATCTATTTTACTGAATATAGTATAGAATGCGATGCTCCCTCGTCGGCGAAATATCGGAGGTGTGACAGAGCGATCACCTTTGGAGAACGATTTTGATACCTACAATAAATTAGACAAAAAAGGGAGTCAACCGAATAATAGTTCTAGTATATTTAATCCATTCCCAAAGACACAATTCAAATTAGCGCCCTCTAATAATATTGTGGAACCTGATATAACATTCGACATCCTCGAAGAATTTGTGTTTGAACCAGTGATGGCGTCTAGAGACAGAACTAATGAATTTATCTCAGCTGTACGCAGTCTGCAAGGTAGAACTTTGGCCAGACCGATCGTAAGAGATGAAAGAAAAGCTCAGATATTGGAGACATATTCACAATTTATGGGCATGGCAAAAGTTATTAGTAAAAACATAACAAGTACTTATGCTAAACTTGAAAAGTTAGCCTTGTGTAAGTATTCATTTCTTCCTATTACATTGTGGCACTACTATTATGATGGAAAAAGATTTGTAAGTTATAGGTATTAGTTTTGAATATATTTTCTAACTCCCTTGATATTAATATCCTGCACTTTTTTAGTGGCCAAAAAGAAGTCTCTATTTGATGATCGACCAACAGAAATCCAAGAATTGACGTACATAATTAAAGGAGATTTAAGTTCCTTGAATCAGCAAATTGCCAGGCTGGGTGAAATGCCACGGGGGCGGCGAAGTATGCATAGCCACTCGTCAAGTGTAGTGCTTGCTTTGCAGTCACGTTTAGCTTCAATGAGCAATCAATTCAAACAGGTAATAAATACTATTACTTAAAATTTACAAAAACTTCTCAATAATATGATGTAATTATAATTTAAATAAATAACTGCATTGTAATCTTTTCATTTTCAGGTCCTTGAAGTAAGATCTGAAAATTTGAAACATCAAAACAACAGAAGGGAACAATTTTCCAGAGTAGCTCCATTGGTTAAAGAAGTGCCATCTCTCTTGCAACAAGATGACATCAGTATAGATTTAGGAGATGCACCTAACATTCAAACACAACAACAACAGTTAGCATTGAGAGATGATACAGATACATATGTTCAGCAAAGAGCTGAAACTATGCATAATATTGAGAGTACCATTGTTGAACTAGGAGGAATATTTCAGCAGCTAGCTCATATGGTGAAAGAACAGGATGAAGCCATTGGCAGAATTGATGCAAATATCCAAGAAGCAGAAATGAATGTTGAAGCTGGTCACAGAGAGATCATGAAGTATTTTCAAAGTGTTACTGGCAATAGAGCTTTAATGTTCAAAGTTTTTGGTGTTCTAATATTTTTCTTTATATTCTTTGTAGTTGTAATGGCTTGAAATGTAAATTATGTGTTGTGAAATATAACAATTACATAATTTTATTGGTGGTGCATCTGCCCATGAAAAAGTAAGTAGATAAAATATTAATTGACATTAATTTCACTGATATGGACTTGTTATATAATAATAAACAAATATTGTAAAACAATAGATACCTATTTTCTTAATAAAATTGTTTTACGAGTCTTTAATATTGTTTCATGGGATGGGACATCATTATCAGGTGTTGTATTTTTATGTTACATGTTGTTATTCCCAAGAGTATAAAATAGTTTTATTCATATGCAATATGACAAATGGTTGGAAAATGTGTAAGCTATAATTATGTTAATATCCTGTACTTTTAGGTTGATGATCTTGCACCTGAGTTATCTAATGCCATGTCAATGGTGCACCAGATATATATATATATATATACATTTACCTACCTAAATAAATATACTATGAAGTTATAAAGTTGTAGTGTTATTGAAAAGTTACTACACATCAGTACATCATTTTTACATCACAAATGCATCAAGTCCTCAAATTGAAAGACAGACAGGACAAGTCCATACATACTTATTATTCTGAACTGTAGTAGTTAGTGTCTGTCTACATTTCGCAGTTGAAAGGCGGATTTAAAATATGATGATAAATTATCGCAGCTTCTGTTACTTATCATGTAGATAAAAAATCGATGTTTGCAATGAAAGGACCACAAAAAATTTCTTTGTTCACAGGAAGGTATTCACAGAAATTAGGAAGGATTTGGCTGGGGTGATGTCTAGCAATTACCTCAGTACATACGTTCGTATGAAAAGAAGTTGTGTAATGTGTCGAGTCCCATCCACAGTAAAAATGTGCGCAAATTACAGAAGCCGAACAACTAATTATCTATAAGGCTTTACTTGCCGGCGGCTCATTTGAGCGGCTTTGTATGCCTTAAAGGCTCCTACACACAGTGCCGGCGGCAGGGCCGCCGTGCACCCGGTGGCATGCAAAGGAGCCGCCGGCAAGTAAAACATTTTCACTTCACTAGCGTTCTATGTAACTGTCGCAACCGAAATGGTGCTTGACGGCTTTGTGCGGCTTGTGCCTTGTATTGCCGGCGGTATAGCCGCTCGGCATGAACCCGGCGGCATTGCCGCCGGTATGTGTGTAGAGTAGCCTTCACGCACAACGTGGATAGTATGGTGGGTAGGTAGCTATATTTTTTTTTTAATAACAACGCAACACTTTTTATGTGATACTTTTATTGCTTAATTATTTATGTAGTAAACATATTTTAATTAAACTTAAAATTGCAGACATAGGTACGCATTTTAATTTCGGTCTCTAAAAACAGACATTTAGATGTTCCGATTATTCATTGTATCCATATTATTATGGAGATCCAATAATATAACCTAGTTTTGTGTATAGAAATATTTAAATTATAATTACTTATCTATTTTATTTATTTCAAGATTACATCTAAAAAAATTATAGGTACGAAAATATTAATAATAAAATGGACACATTTTTTAATTAATTAATTGTAATACTTATAATTATTTATTTGGCAACACCAGGCCAACTTTCGAAAATATAGAATAATAAAAATTAAGAACCACAGCTCATACATTCATCTCTGTTTTGTAAAGAGCAGGTGATGGCAGCCATATTTGCATCATCTACATCTGATTTGCCATTCATTTCCACTTTACCATTTGTGACCTTACTTTTTACTTTAGTTTTGTCAACTGTAAACTGAATTGCGTTGGCTGCAGGTTTTGTTCTCAAGTAGTACATTCCAGTTTTCAATCCCATTTTCCAAGCATAAAAATGAATAGATGTTAATTTACCGTAATTTGGTTCAGCAACATGAATATTAAAAGATTGACTTTGGTCAATAAATGCACCTCTGTCAGCAGCCATTTGTATCGTTGTTTTTACAGATATTTCCCAAATAGTTTTATACAAATCTCTAATTTCTTTAGGTATAGATTCAATGTTTTGAATAGACCCATTATTATGAATGATCAAGTTTTTCATGTCCTCATCCCACAAGTCAGCAACGGTTAGATCATGCAGTAGATGATGATTTACCACCTGAAACTCTCCTGACAAAACACGTCTTTGGTAGATGTTAGATGTGAAGGGTTCAAAAGATTCATTGTTTCCTAATATCTGAGCTGTGGAAGCAGTAGGCATAGGGGCTAACAAAAGCGAATTTCTGAGACCATGTTTTGCAATCTTCTCTTTCAGAGAGGCCCAGTCCCATAAATCAGTAGGCACCTTGTTCCACATGTCATACTGTAATATGCCCTGGCTAGCCGGACTACCTTCATATGTCTCATACACTCCAAATTTCTCAGCTAATTCACAACTTGCTTCTAGTGCACCATAATAAATAGTTTCGAATATCTGCTGATTTAATTTAATTGCAGCTTCACTTTCATATGGTATGCGCATTAAAACAAAGGCATCAGCTAATCCTTGTACTCCAATTCCAATGGGTCTGTGTCTCATATTTGATTTTTTAGCCTCCGGAACTGGATAGTAATTCACATCAATAATTTTGTTCAGATTTTGTGTTATAGTTTTTGTAACTTCTTTCAACTTTATGAAATTGTATGTTTTATCATCATTTACAAACATATTCAATGCAATAGATGCTAAATTACAAACTGCTACTTCATCTGATGAAGTATACTCAACAATTTCAGTGCAAAGGTTACTGCATTTTATGGTGCCTAGATTTTTTTGATTACTTTTTCTATTACATGAATCCTTGTAGAGCATATATGGTGTTCCAGTTTCAACCTGTGCTTCAATTATAGCTTTCCACAAAATTTGAGCTCTCACTTGTTTGACGAAACGACCTTCACTTTCGTATTTCTCATACAAAGCATCGAATTCTTCACCCCAGCAGTCAGACAGTCCAGGACATTCATGAGGGCACATGATACTCCAGTTCTGATTGGCTTCCACTCTTTTCATGAATAAGTCGGGTATCCATAAAGCATAAAAGAGTTCTCTTGCTCGCACTTCCTCTTTACCAGTATTCTTTTTCAAATCCAAGAATTCAAATATGTCAGCATGCCATGGTTCTAAATAAATGGCAAAAGCACCTGGTCTCTTGTTACCACCTTGGTCAACATAACGAGCTGTATTATTGTACACTCTTAACATTGGTACAAGACCATTTGATACACCATTTGTACCAGCAATGTAAGTACCCTTTGATCTAATACAGTGGACATGAAGTCCAATCCCTCCAGCTGATTTAGAAATGAGAGCACATTGTTTTAGGGTATCATAAATTCCTTCAATGCTGTCATCTTTCATTGCAATCAGGAAACAAGAAGATAATTGGGGACGAGGTGTTGCTGCTGAGAATAAAGTTGGACTTGCATGTGTAAAATATTTTTCAGACAGCAAATTGTATGTATTTATGGCAGCTTCAATATCCTCACCATGAATACCAATAGAAACTCGCATCAGCATGTGCTGTGGCCTTTCTGCTACCTTAAATATTAAACATTGAATTAATTCATAATATTTGTTGAAATTAAAAATTGTTGAAATTCAGGTTCTCAATAGCTTAGCTTTATAAAAGTAGAAATCCCTCACCTTATTGTTAATTTTTAGAAGATATGACCTTTCCAAAGTCTTGAATCCAAAATAATTGTATTTGAAATCTCTGTCATAAACAATGGCAGAATCCAATCGTTCCTTATTTTGAATGATCACATTATAATGAAAATCAGAAATCATTGGTGTCCTCTTTTTAGTATGAGGATTAACTATGTTGTATAGATCAGTAATAACATCTGTAATGGACACAAAAAATATTTATTATTATCAGTATGGTATGTAATTTTAATAGTGAAGTCATTTTGTATTAATATTGTATTTCCAAAATATTTGGTGTATGATAAGTTCATAACTGGGACTATAAAATAAATAAGGATAATGTATAAAACTGAAAATTACCAGAAAAGTGTTTCTTGGTTTCTTTATGTAAATTAGAGATGGCTAATCTTGCAGCTAGTATTGCATAATCTGGATGATCAGTTGTCATAGTTGCTGCTGTTTCAGCAGCTAAGTTATCCAGCTCTACAGTTGTTACCCCAGAGTATATGCCACTTATAACTTTCAGAGTAATAGATACCTAAAATAAAAAAATCTTTATTAGAATTGATAAGAAATGCAGATTTCTTTACCTGTAATGATATTGTAAAAAATGTAATAATGTTATCTTATTTTAATAGCATAATGTAAAATGATAATCATTGTTATTAATTTAAGAGAATTCCAATAAGTTGTATGAATTTATCTAAACCATAGGAAACATAATTGTCTTGGTTGGGTTTGCATTCCAGCACACCAAATGTTCATTTATGATTACAAAATGTTTTACTCTAATTATTTAAGGACTTACCGGGTCTACAAAATCCATGTTAAGACCATAGCATAATTTCTTTATTCTTGAAGTTATCTTGTCAATATGTACTTCTTCCATTCTCCCCCCTATAAGGGAAACACACAATAAATAAAATACCTATTTAAACACAATGACCAAAGAATTCTTTCATCATTGTTTAATTAATGTTAATTAAATGATTTCATTGGTTACTAAAATATTCAGGTTTTGTTTTATGCACTAATGTTGCTTAAAATCTTATAAAATTAAATTGTATTTCAATCTACCCCATATAACCAAAAATCTGATAGTTTTCAAGTTTAATTATATGGTAGGTAGAGAAAATATGTAAGCAACTATTATGTGTTGACTAAGTACTAACTTCGTCCAATGCTTTATGTAGGATCCTGATAAAGCTATAAGTCATGTACGAACATGTAGAAACTGGTTTCCTTACCTCTTTTCAGAACAAACAACTTGTTAAGTTTGCCCACCATGATTGCTGTTCACACTTAAACTTAGGTATATCTGTAACTTTGATTGATTCTTATTAGTATTAGGTAACTTCCCTTGTGAAACAAAGAAATACAGGGAAAACGCTTGCTACTAAACGAATGAAGCAACTGAAATGACGTTACAATCACAATTGGCGGGAAAATGTTCCAGAACTAGAAATAATAGAAGTCAGAAGTGAAGTAGTGTTGGGTAAAAATAATCGACTCATCATTAACGTAACAATTTTATTTAAAAAATATCGTTCGCTATTGAATGTTTTTGCGCACATGACGTTCTTGGTAATGTGAAAGTGAAAATTGGAACTGTAGAACTATACTTTAATATTTACTCATTTTGCCGTCACCACTCGACACTGGCAGGACTGGCAGTATTGAGTATAGTCGACAACACCGTTTTGGAGACTCGCTTCACGGCTGCCGAAGAAGAAGAAAAAAAGAATTTTACTCTTTGGTGTAGAAAGCAAAGAATATTTAAATATATTATAATGTAGAAAGCCAGAATTTGGTTGACAATTCATATTTCTATGTTGGTTGAGAATACACGTTTGTGGTGGTTTTGGCCGGCCCTAACCCTAACCATCTATCTTTTTTTTCTTAATGAGGGAAATCCTCATGGACTGCGCGAGGCTGCGGGAGTCCAAATCAAGACATTACAAAGTCCTTCGTTCCTGGACCCATTCATGAGGGCCGGTAAAGTCAAAGTCAAATTTCAAATCATTTATTTCAACCAGAAAGGCACTTTTGAACGTCAACAGAAAAAAAATTAAAGGTGAAGCTATTTGCTCATTCCAAGGGGTAGATTCCTGTGGAGAAGAACGAGCAAGAAACTCCATAGGTTACTCTTTTTCAATCAGGTTCACAATACAATTCAACATACAATTCTCCAGATACATAGTTTTGTTGTTTGGATTGTGCAAGAACAATGTAACACTAAAAACTAAAAAGAGATCGAAAAAGAAAATAACCTTAAGGACAATAAATAATACCGTCTGGATCTGACGAGTCCCTGTTGACGGACCCCGTTCACGAACATGACACGTACACCAGCACCGCCCAACTCAACCATATGGTAGGGAATAGAGCGATCTACTTCACGTGTCACCGCCAATGAGACCTTTGAGTGAGCATGACAACTCCAAGCTGACACAAATGCATTCTACTAGTCTAAGTTAATTACAGGGCTCTCACATTTACAACGGTTATATATGTTAAACAATATAGAGAAAGAGATAACTATAGAGGGCTTTGTCGGCCCTTCTCCTGAGCCCGGTGCGCCTTCTGCGGTTGGGAAAGGAAGTCAATAAGATCTCCCGCTCCCGTTCCGCAGTTTCTTTCTGCGACATCACATCCTCGCAGAAAGACACCACCGCGTCCCACGACTCTGCGCTGTCCACCATCTTCCACACTATGGCTGTCAGCGACAGATCTCCTCCTCCCAAGCTACACACTCGGCGAGCGTGCGTAGCGCAGTGTCCTCCCGCAACGGACGCGATGACACCGGGCGGCCAGCTCTATGCGGCACAGGTACTTGCCGAAGCAGCCGTGCCCCGACAGCACCTACATCACCCTAAACGATAAGAAGCTGTGCTTCCTTCCAAGCCAGTCGTCAGGTACTATCCGGATCGCCTCGACGGTAGTGAGGTCTGCGGTGGGGCGCAAAAGCCTTTGCTGCTATTCCGCCACCAAGACCTGCCTGACGAAGGTCCTCTCGGCGCCGCTCGATCTGGTGCTGCACTGGTTTCGAGCCCCGTGTCCGTTCTTCCTCGCGCCATCGGTATAGTGACGCGAATACTTTCGCCTCTAGCTCCCAGGGCGGAGATCCGGCCAGGACGCAAGCCGCCTCGTAGGAAATCTTATGATACCCGAGTACGACTCCTGACAGCCATTACCCTCTGCGGTTTTCTCAGAATGGCGAAAGTGTTGGCCGTCAAGTCCAGTGCCCACACAGGGTCGCACGATTCCCACACACAACCGCCTACAGGCGGCGCTTGGGCGTTGAAAGCGCGCCCGCCGCATCCATCAGCTTGGGCGCCAGCCGCTGGAAGTGGGGCCCAAATTCCCATCGGCTGTCAAGCACTAATCCCAGATATTTCATGGTGGACTCGACTCTTTCAAAGCAAACATATTTCCCTATTATTTGTGAGTACCTACAATACATAGTAAAAACGTAAAAACTTCAAAGACTATGTCGGAGTAAGATTCGTATTTCTGAGGGACATTAGCCTTTCTGATGCCATAGAAGGTTTGCAACATTAGATTTACGTAACAGTTCCTAACAGAAACTCAAGTTCCTAATATTTTAATACTATACATTTCATTGTATGAAATAAATAATATGCGCGTTTTTTATTTCATTTCATCTTTTCCTGTGCTAAGTAATCAATCTTTACCTAGCAATCTGGCTAATACCCAGTGATGTACAAAATACCCAATACAAAATATCTGAAATACAAAATGCAAGATACTTTAAAATTAAGTATCTTAGATACCAGGGGGGCTAAAAAGGTAACATTGTATGTTTCATATCTGAATCATAATATGTGACATATGTCATGTCATAAAAAGACAACATTTCGATGATTCATAATATGAACTGAAAGTGTTTCATATTTGCAATTCATCTAATATGACACTTTTGAATGGAAATTCGTAAAATGGTTTGCAAAGAGTGAATTCCTATACGTCAAATAAGCAGATTTGTCAGATGTTACTCGAGGGCATCATTTTACAGTTCATCTAGTTTATATTTTTAATAAAGTAATGAAAAATGGGAGATTTTGGCCTTTCTGAAAACTTTTTGGAGCATGCACGTGTTTTAGAAAGGTTTTCATATCGTCGGCGAAGTGAAACTCTTCAGGAAATGCAAGTTGTTTTTGAAATACCGGAGCCTGAATATGTTGGATTGTTTCGCGTAAATAATAGTGTGTGTCGCAAAATAATCCCAAGAGTTGGAAGCATATTTAGCCTCTCGACGTGGTGGAATAAGTACTGTGTGCAAGATAAGTAGCCACCAAACTATTCATTACTTAAAGTAGTTATACAACCAAGTTGTAATTAACCCTTAAGATTCGTTCAAGAAAAAATAGAGATGCATTTATTTCTGTTTAAGGTATTAAGTGCACTAATACTTAACGCTTCTGGATCGTATATTACTAATAGGCATGATTCAAGTTGTATCTTCATATACCTTGGGTTATTTCATTGTCAGTATGTCTTTTCAACAAGTTTTACACTTAAGTTATAAAATAAAACTATAAATTGTAATCCTGTACATATAGTAAATATTAATGATTATAATTGTGTTTCAGGATATGACTATACAGAGTGCAAGAACTAATACTAATTCTCTAGTACGAATCGGACTTATAAATAAATAGATTTTGGTCAGCACATATCTGACGATTTGAAAATTTTGTTGTTTTTATTTGCCTTAGTTTTTTAGGTCTATAGCCATAGTACAACCTTTTGGAACATGAAGAGAGAGAGAGAGAGGAGAGATATTTCAACTGATAGAGATATCATTCACACCAATAAAATAAAGTCACTAATTTTAAAACATTTATTTCATAATCACTAACTAAAAGTAACCGAGGGAAGTGCAAACTACTGCTTTTTTCCTCTCCTCTTATAATGTCTTCTGATAAATCAGAATCTGATTTCGTAGCGGGATCCAAGACAGTTAATTATGTCCCTGGGACGCGCCGGACTTCAGTGTTCTGGTGTCATCTACTGTAGATCCTGGCTTACAGGAGTCGCAGCGGTTTGGGAAGGATGTGGCAGGCTTGTCCAAAAAAATCGGATATCTGAAAATGAAACATGATGAATGAAATTAAATTTTTCTAAGTTGCGAATTTTACCTTACTTATCATATTAAAGCTACTATCATTGCCTGATTTATGGTAAGCTAGAATAAAACAACACGTCATTGTTTCAGTTAACAAATACATGCAAATGCACTTGTCCTGCTGTAGTGTATCTTGCGATGAACCAATACTTAAACATCGCCAGCGAGATTTAAATACTTCGATACACCTTTCCACGGTATTCCGAGCCGACAATGTTTTTGGGCGTAGTGCCGTTGTTGAGTGTCTGGCTTGGTATTAATGACTAGTATTAGTCATAAATAGCTAGTAATAAATAATTATATTTACCTTTTAACGTGTATCATTTCTTAATAGATAAAATCCATAGCGTTCAATCTTCGCCTTGGTAAGGGAGGAGCCCTTTTCTGTATCAATTTACTTCTCGAATTCCATTCACATCTCGAACTCTATTCACTGTTACTTACTTCCCAATGAAATAATGTCTAAGTTAAAGAGTTTAATATTTTTTAACAATTTGTTTGTTTAAATGAAGTTTAAATTTACTGTTTATCTGACAGTGTGACTGACTGACGTGACGTATGAGCACCAGTCATTGCCAGCAAAAAGGAAATAAGAAAAACAAAATCAAAATCTGTTTGTAGTTTTCACACTGTATTTTAATGGATTTTCTAGTTTCTTGATAGATATGTGAAAATCTTATAATTAAAAAACATTCAGGATCGAAAATTTTTAATTCAAGTTATAATAAAACACAAGATAAACAAAACCGGTAAAGTTACGGTTCGTTTTCTCTCTATATATTTCTTATGTAGCAACATCGGCATCTAATATGATTCAGATAAGAAATGAATTGAAGATGTTTCATATTTTATTGTTACCATTTTATGGTGATTTAGGTGATTCTCTAACAATTCATCAAATCCGTCATATTAGAAATGATTCATCCAATGTTACCTTTTTAGGCCCCCAGATACAAAATACTATTGACATTGGTATCTGAAATACTAGATACAAGATAGGTATCTTTAAAATACTTTTTAAACTATTTTATCTTTAAAAAGTATTTTAAAGATAAAATACTTTTCTAGGAAAACAACACCTGAATGAATTCCAATTTCCTTATTTTAAAGGACAATGCTCACGAAATTTGAAAAAAAA